TTCAACCAATGAGAGTTCAATGGTAAAGAATTAGCATGCCAGGATAATCTACTTCTATTTACTTTTAATTGATCAGATGGTAGAAATTATTCTTTATTTGAAGCAGAAGAACTAAGTATTCTAAACAGTATCATTATTAATACTATTTCAATATGTGCATGCAAATTTTGTTTTCATTTAACCTTGAACGTCTTGATTAGATACCACTCTAGTTTTGTTTATTTATGCTGTCCTACTGAAATGCATTTCTGTGTCCAGAATGATTTAGGATCTTTTTTTCTGGAAAAAAAATACTTTTTTTTTTTTTGCTTTTGTTCTTGCTGGGAGACTTGTGCTTAGTGTACAGTAGTCTACTTAGAAATGTATACTGAATGACCCACTACAGAACAAAATTTTGGTGGCATTCAATATTTGGTAGTTGTGGAACAATATATGTAATGAGGACAGGTGTATTCTCCTATACATGCCTAGCACAATCATCTTCCTTCCAGTTTGCTGAATAGCTGTCAGTATCAGATGGAGCTGGGCACAAAGAGTCTTTTGAAATTCTCAATCAAATTTTGGGAGACACTTGCACAACCTGTTCTTCATATTATGATTATTATGATTGGGTAGCATTTTGGATTTCAAAGCACTCAGGAGTTTGAACATGACATTTACTGGAATTCCCTGAAACAACTGTGTCCTTTTCTGTACGTGCTCAAAACAATTGCAATCTGATGTTTATGTTTGAGCCCTCACATACGCTGAAGCATGTTTTGCCTTCAAATCTAAAGCATTATTTATATTCCCAAAGCCCATCAAGCAAATATTCGGCAGGTTGATACATATAACTAAAACAGGGGAAATGGCAGGCATTTTTTTCTAATCACACACACTCCATCTCACCTTATTTTTGTATCTTGCCGAGGCAGTGTGCTACTCTGTCAAGTATAATATAATTTGTCAGTATAATAGTGGTGCACTTCTAACCAAAATCACTGTGCTCACAAAATGGTTGGTCTTGAATTGTTTTACAACAATCCCTTTTTCTTTAGACATAAATCAGAAACAGGAATTGCACTGAGCATAATCTCCTTTTACAGAAAGCCAGGTATAATTTTTCGGATTTCTTTTTGTTTTCTTCTACATGCTGGACAAAATTCCCAGAGTGCTGCTAATTCCCCAACAATAGAATATGGATATAAAAGTCAATCAAATTCCAACCAAGCACTGGGGACATTTCTCATTTGTTGGAAATACAAAATGACAAAGAAAGCAAACAGTCATATGTGTCTGTTATCTTGTAAAAAATAATTGGCTCATTAATCCTGCCTATACAAATGTAATTATATCATGAAGGCTAAATATAAGAATTTTCTTCTTAGTGTGCTTCATGTTAAGAACAGCCTTGCAGGCATTCTGTATTAGGAAATAATCAGTAACAGTATAGACAACTCTCCACTGGAAATATAGTACCATATTTTTCACACTATAAGATGCTCCGGACCATAAGACACAGACCTAGCTTTTGGGCAAGAAAACAAGAAAAAAAATCTGCCTCTGCCTCCCAGCAATTTGCCTCCTTGCAGCAAACAGCAAACAGCCTGGTCAGCTTCAGCACAGCCTGATTTAGCATGAGCAGCTGATTGATGGTTTGATCTGTGTCCCGGAATACTGCTAATCAGCTGTTCCAGGCTGAGGGGATCGCCGCCGCCCATCGCTACTGCCCATCACCACCTCCATGCGCCCCACGGAGTTTTGGCCTCTGCATGTCCTGTTTTTGGCCCGTTCCAGGTGGTGGGGATCGCTGCTGCCATTTGGGAGTGATATGAGGAGGCGGCGGCAATCCCTTTTGCCTGGAATGGGCTGAAAACAGGACATGTGGAGGCCAAAAATGGGGCTCATGGAGGCAGTGATAGGTGGCAGCAATTCCCGCAGCCTGGAACAGCTGATCAGCAGTATTCTGGGAGGCCGATCCAACTGCCAATCAGCTGTTCATGCTAAATCAGGCTGTTCTGAAGCTGACCAGGCTGTTTGCTGTTTGCTGCAAGGAGGCAAATTGCTGGAAGGCAGAGGTGGGGGCCAGAGGGTGGGTGGGGTTTCAGCAACATTCACTCTATAAGATGCACAGACATTTCCACCCACTATTTTTTTTTTGGAGGGGAGTGCATCTTATAGACCAAAAAATACAATACTTCAATGACCCTCTAAAGGATGCAAATGACCAGCTATCTGCAAGGAATATAAATCCTTCCATTCTCCACTATCCTGTCAGAGCTGAAGAAGCTTCTTGGATGAGAAGCAAAACGTCTTTAAAAGAAAAAACAAGAAAGTCCAGTTGCCTCTTTTGCAGCTTTGGGATAACCATTATCTGGATTACTGAGAATCTCTACAGAACATTGGAAATATAGAACACATAACACTTTTTATGGATTGGCACTTTCTCAACAGTATAAGATACTGTGGATAATAAGATTCCTGACTTTTTAATATTTACATTTCCTGTAAAATTCATAAATGGAACATTATTTTTCAAGTACAAAAAATTAAAATACAGACTTCTGATATTTTACAATTGTAAACAAAATTAAATAAAATAGAGATTAAATAATGATTAGCCAAGGCACCCAACAGAAATTATATCTGATTCAACTGTCAAACAAATGCTGTGATCCAAAGATTGAAGCTTTGTTATGCTGATGCTACTTCTAAACTGAATGAATGCTTATTGTCAGATAGTTCAGACATAATCTGTCTCAAACATTATTGTTATATGATGAGTTAGTTGTACATCATCATCATAAATATTACTATATACTTTCTTGCGCTTACACCCTACTCTGAAAACATTTATTGTTGAGTAAATTAAACATATTAATAATTCAATTGCTATTTTAAAAAACAGAAATAAAACTCAACCATATGCCTACATTAAGCTGTTTAATTTGCCATTTTAGATCCATTTCTTTAGGAATCATGACCCACCATCTGCCAGTTTAGATCCCTTGCATAAAATCCCTGCCAAAAAGAATGGTTGCATTATGGAGATGGTTTATATGCTTGCACATATAAATAAGTCTGGAGTCCAATCTTTTTCATGCCCTTGAAAGGTTCTTATGTATCAAAGAACCCAGAGCTACTACTGCACAGTAGACAATAGGAACCTGGTAAAACACCACCATGATACAATTTAAATTCAGCAAACAAAAATGGTAAGGCCCAATTCAGATTTGAGCTAGATGTGAGAAAAGAATAAAGTACATACTATAATGGAAAGAATCAGAATAATTGCAGGTGCTTCCTGGTTTCTCTTTAGAAAACAATGAAAATGGCAGGACTTTTAATCTGCAAAGTCTCACCAACTAACAAAAAAAAAATCTCTTGAGATGCTTCTTTTCTTTGACTTGACTTGCTAAATTAACACCTTTCTTACACCTAATAATTCAAGATTCGAAGATGGATTATTTCTCTCTAATTAGCTGGTAGATCACTAAATATATTCAGAAAGATGACTAAATTTGTTTAACTGTCCAGTAATCTGGCTAAATAAACATCTTCATTATATGAGCAGATCTCTTATACCACATGCATGTATAGAGTATTTATTTACATTAGGATTATTATATATACAGTAGTATTAGACCTTCTCAGACATTTTTGCTGTTCTTTACGAGGGTCTTGTGTGCAACTTTGATGGCTGAAACTAAAGTTCATTGATATTACCCTAGTCGCTCATTTTCAGGACAGCCTCATGAATTTAATAGTTACTTTTACATAATTCAATAAATAAATATTCTACAAATGCATCAATTTAATTTTTCACGTGGTAAATATTGATAAATATAACTCATACAAATAGAATTTCTTTTGGGTCCTCCATAATTGAACTTTTTAGAAAAAAGAGAAAATACCATGAAAAAATATTTCTGGGTGCAAGTTTATATCCTTTCCTGGAAGAAGGAAGGCCTATTGAATTCATTGCTACTTTTGAGTAAAAATGCTGTGAGACTGTGCTGTTATGGCTCGGCTACAATCCTGTATCCTTTTACTTAATTTCTCCTGAAATTAATAAATCAGGTCTGAAGAGGCTTGAATTATATTACACTGTTAGGTATTCCAAAGTATTGGCATATAGTGCTCTACTCATTCTTCCTTTCTGCTTACTCGTAAAAGATGAAAAACACCTTTATAATTGTTCATTCTTCCTCTCCTACCCTCTCAACATGGATCTAATTTCATGTAATGGTTTTACAGATAGAAAGTGAGTTCACAATGACATCATGTTTTTTTTGCTTTGCTCCAGGTTATTTTGACGGATACGAATAGAGCATGTGTTCTGAATAAAGTAGAAGACAACAAAATTGAATTCAGTTATTTAGTTTTGTTCAGGTTTTTTTATAGCATCATGTTATAAAACAGCAGATGTACTGTTACCTGGAACACATGTTCCATTTATGGGCAAATTCTGTTGCAAAGTATCCTTTAGGGAGTGATAATAAATTGTATAGCCTTTACATCATTGTTTTCCTACCTCTATCTGCTATAGATATAAATAATGTTTATGGGAAATTTTAGTTTTACTGCCTGAATGTGGTCGCTCATAGCTTTTACTAAAAGAATAAATTAAGTTAAAGTTGAATGACATGGATGGATGGATGGATGGATGGATGGATGGATGGAAGGATGGATGGAAGGAAGGAAGGAAGGGAGGAAGGAAGGAAGGAAGGAAGGAAGGAAGGAAGGAAGGAAGGAAGGAAGGAAGGAAGGTTGATTTTTAAGGCTGTCTGCAGAGTTATAGAATTTCAGATTTTTTTTACTTCAATTTCATCATTGATATAGGAAATTCAATTTTGTTTCCAATTTTGCTCACAGATTACAAATATTTTAATGCAGGGATATTTTTCTAAATGAGAGATTTAAAAGTAAGCATCTGACCCACATGGTACACATGGGTTTTTTGTTTTGCTCTAAAATATCCAAATGGTACATTACTAAATGAGTTTATGATATAACCAGATATAAATATAATTCAAATTTATTCTTATCCTCACCATCTTCCTCCTCATCCTCATCAATATTGAAGAAACCAGCGAAAATTTAGATAACTAGGGAATGAAAATCAAAGTTTAATTAATTAGGAACAGAAGATATAGATGGAGGTCATAACACACACACACATCAGTTATCTTAACTAGTTTATAAATTAAATCAGTACACTAATAGATAAAAATATCCCAAAATATTCTGTAAATGATTGAACTCTTTCATTCAACATTCTATTGTATCAAAACAATGTATTCAGTTTATGTAAGCATTTCCACTTATCGTTGGTCAAAATAATCTGTTACTCACCACCAATGAATTACATTTTTTTCTTATCCAAGATACACCTAAGATATCAAGGCGCAGATCATTCAGTGTCCCAATTACTGAAAATCACAATCAATTTGTCAGTCTTGATTATCACTGTCAAATGCTGAGCAAAATGGATCCATGATACTGTCTATAAATCAGCATTCCTGGGAGGAGGATGTTTCCTCAAGTGTATAAAATTCTATTTCTTTAAGTCACTGTATTTACCAGCCATCATAAACTCTGGATTTAGTTTCTTTATGTTTTTCTTAACCAAGCTTACAAAAGCAACCAGTCATTTTCTGAAGCAGACTTTTCCAATCTAGTACCTTTTAAACATTTTAAGTTTTAACTTGCAAGCTGACAGAGATTTCTGAGACTTATTGAACACATATAGAGAATATAATTTTTGGATTGGCAGAAGAAAACAACTTGATCATCAATAACTAATACATCATCCACCCAGAAATATTGTTTAATTTTAATCTTATCTAAAAATTTTGCTAGAAAAATATTGTTGCACTCTTTGACATAACTTTCATTATTTAGTAAACTTTAGCAGTAACCTTTTACATTTGGTATTATCATAAGGAGGGTTCTCTGGATAGCACATTTTAAAGAGAATATCAATCCTACTGTCATACGAAGATTGCCATGATGGACACGGACATTTATGAAAATCCATTTACTAGACTGTAAATTAAACGATTGTGATAAATCAACATCCAGTTTAGTTATGTTGAAGTGGTCATAACCTGGGTGTCAAATTATTTGAGTTGGCAATATGACTCAGGTCTCAGCTTTGAGTCATGTCTTGGCTCTGAGCCATGTTGGCTTCTGCTTCTGGTTATAGGGATTCCTATCAATGTATGGTGAGAGATAAGTAGAAGCATTCCAGTTTCTATTCGAAGTGAAATCCTTCTCTGCAGTACTATATACCACAAATAAGCCATCATTTTATCGGTATTCCTTGACTTATGACAATTGAGCCCAAAATTTCTGTTGCTAAATGAGACATTTGTTAAATGAGTTTTGCCCCATTGTTATGACTTTTTGAATCACTTCAGTTGTTAAGTTAGTAACAAGGTTGTTAAGTGAATCTGGCTCCCCCCATTGACTTTACTTGTCAGAAGATTGCAAAAGGTGATCAGATGATCCTGGGACACTGCAATGGACATAAATATGAGTAAGTTGACAAATGCCTGAATTTTCATCTTGTGACCATGGGGATGTTGCAATCATTGTAAGTGTGAAAAACAGTCATAAGTCAGTTTTTGTTGTTGTAACTTCAAACAGTCACTAAATGAACTGCTGTAAGTTGAGGACTACCTGTACTTCCATCTTCTCCACTTGGAAGGACATCACTAATATTTTAAAGATACAGTAACTCATAACAGTAATGTGTAGCATGGGATTCCAACCCAGTGTAAGAGATCGTCCTTTCACTCATCTCAGGGAGGGTGCCCGCCCTCAGATTTTAATTCTTTTTTCATTACATTGATTTGTCTTCTAATGAAAAACAACAGATAGTAATAAAAAAAATTATAATATAATCAAACATTTTGTACAGGAGGCAACTTCCAAGCACCAAAATCAACCAGAAACAAGTTTAAAAAAATTAAGAATAGTGTAATAAAATCTTCAGAAAGTTAGGCAGGATTGGGGTCATGTGAATCTCAGAGGGAATGCTATTTCATAGGAAGACAGAGCAACAAAGAAGACATGTTTGCGATAGTGGTGAATATCTGTACCTTGGGTGCAGGATGAGGGTGGAGGTTCATTCTCCAAACTTGTGAGTTGGTTTTCAAACAGTTCATTACTTAGGCTAGGTAACATATTCAGTGGAGTTTAGGGGATGTCAGTGTTAGTGTTCTTCTGCTTATGAGGACTACATGTAGTTGGTAGGTCTTGTGATGGGGAGGTTATATCAGGTGACGGTCAGGTCATGTGAGGGTCTTGTGATGGGTCAAGTGTGGGTCATGTCAGGTGAAGGTCATTGGGAAGTGAAGAGAAGACATGTCTTCTGAGTCTGAGAACAAGAAGATGCCCTCTTGTTATTTTTCATGGTGGTTTTTTTTCCCATCATAAACGGAGAGTGAGCTGAGGTAAATTGACACCATTGCTGCAAGATCTTTCGTGGAATACATCTGTTCTACAGAGAGGGAACAAATTACATGTGTGGAATAAAAGTAGTGTTAAGAAAAGTGTCTGGGGAAGTATAGGATGCTATTTGCATATTATGCAGATGAAAACCTAATAAGAAAAGGTATATTGGCAGGGACTGTGTGTTATCTGGCACTGATGCATAGGCCAGAATGGGGTACTGCAGCATAATCTCCAGTAATGTTATTTTCCAATTGAATTTTTTTAAAAAAATAACAAAAATGAAACCCAGTCAAAGAAAGCAGTACAGATAAATCAGTCGCGCTTGTGAAGCCATCCAATCCAGCTCTGTCCAAGTAACCGAGATTAAGATGGGGCTCTCTATATCACAGACTCCTGTTAGGAATTCTGCCCAGCTAAAAAAAGAAATAGCCAGGTGTTTCCTGACACTTCCATTCAGAGCCTTTTTGGGGTTTTTTGAGTGCATTTCAAGGAATGTTACGGAGAACAAAAATTGAACACCATCAATATTAATGATCTAAACTGGGAAGATTGCTTTTAGTGCGCAAATTAATTACCCTAATCACAGGGGTTTTTATATTCATTTTAATGAAATAACTATTTATTTCACTGAGTCCTGAGCTTTTCTGTTGCAAATAAGTTACATTTACATGATAAATACATGAAACTGAAATGGATGACTAAATTAATTTAGAAACAAGAGGGATGGGGTGGGTAAGCTTTTAAAAACACAGTGTTTATAAGAGAAAGAGCCAGATTAATGGATTAGTTTTTGGGTGAGCATCTGTGATTATTATTTTTTTCATCAATGCCAAATGGAATTTAATAGATCTTGAGCCTTCAGTACCAGTATTTCCATATTTAATGTTTTTAAACTTAAAGAGTGTTGATTTTAAAAGCTTCACTTATTTCACTCTGGCAATCGATTCTACAATCAATTAGATTAGATTACTCGCTTGTTCTCTTATCTTCTTTCTTCTCCCATAGCAGCCCATGTCTGTATATACCGGGGGTGGATTCTTTCCTTATTTAAAAAAAGACTCCACAAAACCCAGATCTGAGGGTGCATGGAGTATCCCTGTCCTTAAATCCCTTTATTCATGTTTCATGATAAGCACTAATCATGCTAGGGAAAGGGGGATAGGGCAGGAGAGAGAAAATGCTTTGGGAATTTCCAGTGTGCCTTTTAGCATCTATGTGTTTTGAAAACTTTATTTACTGTGGCAATGCTTTGAAGGGCTGCAAATTCAACAGAGGGGAGATTTGAAACACATTCCAGCTCGTTTTTTGATAAGGGTTCAGCCAAACAGCACATCCTTCTCGGCTTTCCCCCTTCCTGTCCTCCCAGTTCAGCCACCAGAGGCATCTCCAGTTTCCTTTGATTTGAAATGATCAATTGCAGCTGTGGCAGCCAGGCAGGGGGCCTCAGGCACAGTCCAAACAAGTATGTCTCCCAATGCACTAGGATTTACATTTCAATTGCTGCCACATTTTTAAAAAGATAATTATAACCTTTTTATATTAATATATTTTTTCTCCATAGCTGCTCTGATATTTTAGCAACATAAATATTAATTTAGTACATCAGGAAGAACACAAGCTTTCTTCAAGGGAAATGGCTTGAATAAAAATCTGTTCTTTTTTTTAAAAAAAAAGCCCACATCCAGATGGCATCAAACATGCTATCAGAATCTCAGAGCAATATCCACATTAAAAAGCTTCCCCCCCCCCCTTCAGACTCTAATTCTACTTTTTCTGGGATTACTAGTTTGGAAAATAAATTGCAGATCCAATAGAACATGTCAGCCACGTTGCTGGTGATTACAATAATGCCATTGATCAGGGTAAGGAAGGACTGCCTTGATCCTAACACTATATTGTTAAGAGCACATACAGTATTAAAATCAATAGAGTATGTGTGTGTGTGTGTGTGTGTGCGCGCGCGTGCGTGCATATATAGACAAATATATTATAGCAAAATATAGCAAAAGAATTGGGCATTTGCATTTAATGTTGAAGTTTAAAAATGAAAACAATTTGATATTGGAAATGGTTATTGAATAATTATCAGAAATATAGTGTGTCGGTCTCTGTTTCTCTCTGTTTGTGTGTATTGTTCAAAATGAGGATTTAACTTTGTTTCTCCTTTGCAGCAAGCAACATTCTACTTTTTTAAAGCTGGTATCTGTCCCAAGATGAAATAACTGCAAGTTTGCTTTGAATTCTTTATCTAGATGCCAAATGAAACATATATGGTGTGATCCCATATTTTATGTCTTTTGGGATACTTCCTTAGAACTCCACTGAGCAGTATTCCTTGGTGCTATTTGACTTCTTCTCCTTTCACTTTATAAGGAACTTTGTCATTTTTAAACATCATTTCTTATGCAAAGTATTTCAGGAATGATGATGGCCCCACTTTTGTTCGATATCAGACACAAAGAATTTGCTGACCACAATACCTATTGCATGGATACACACACAGTAGAACAGATGGGCCTCATACGTGATAACCACAATATGGTTTTCCCAATCAGAAGTGTTTTCTGCTAACAAAACCTCGTCCTATTTAAAGTATTGTTATGTTGCACTTAATTTCTTTAGCCAGATATTCACATTGCTTTTATCG